CAATATAGTATCTTTTTGTATTTTACCTGAATAAGTCCCTTCTTGGCTGTAGACACAATTCAGCCATTTCATAGAGATATATGTATTTGAATTCTGACACTGAAAACTTCAGACCAAACTTCTGAATTCTTATTACACTCTTTTGTACATGCCTTACACATCTAGCCAAGTTTGTGGATTTGCACACTAAGAATAGCAATCATAACTCACTCTCGGTCTACCCTGCCTTACATTACAAAATCAATATTACAGTACCAGCCAGTGAATTAAACAGATGTGTGTATTTAGATTAATTAGCATTCAATTTCAGCCTAAATTATGGGGATTCTCTCTTTCATCTTCCTGCACAACCATTAAAATTAAGTTGCGCTATGCTAGAGAGACCATCCAAAGCACAGGTGTGTTCTATCTCCACTGACTGAAAACAGTCAGTGAAGAAGTTAAACAGGAAGTCCTAATCTCAGTACTTAAAGTTAAAAGTATAACGACAAACCACATGAACATTTTCTTATCCTCATGGCTGTGGTACATTCAGTATTGTTACTCATCTCTGTCCTGATCCACTTCATTTTAAACACAAATTCATTCTCCATTTTTCATTCACAGTAGCCACTCTATTTCAACAGCAATTAAGATACCCAAATCAGATTGAAAAGGGTCACAGAGTTTTATATGTTCAGTATCTTGTAGTTACCTTGTCAGAAACACTGGCTTTTAACTCCAGAAATGTTGTTCTAGATGCAGTTAATATATAGTAAACAAGGTAAAAAAAAAGTTATGACAAAGCAATCTAATATACCTCACTTCTTTTTAACAGTTTTAGCAAACCTATTTGGCTTCACTATGTCAACATAAAATAGTAAAGTGACAAGTACTGGTAACTAAGTCCTACTTTAATCTTTTGTAAGGTCTTACAGTAGGTGGAAAAAATGTAAAAAACCCCACCTGTAAAAATAAACAAACAAATATAATCACCAACAGACATTTAATTAATCCTGCCCCACAAAATGCCCAGTCTTTTGGCATAAAAGAGGGCCTTGTTGGAAATAAGCTGTAGGATGAAAAAGCCCCAGGATGCTCACTAATCCCAGAATGACAAGCAGACTCTAAAGCCCTCAGACTGTTCCAGTCTGGATGAGATATATGTGACGCTGTGATGTATGAGAAGAGTTATTTCCTACTGAGAATTATTAGTGGCTTTCTGCAAGTCATCATCCACATTAATGTCAGGATTGCTGAAGGTTCCACAAGTGCTAAAAGGAGCTCATAATTTGACCAGGGGATCAGAGATCCCAGCTGACAGAAAAACCTCAGAGAGCTTACCTTGTTTAAAAGTGGAAACTCCCCAACGATGGTCTCTGTGCCACGTGCACAGAGACAAAACAAAGACAAGCTTAAAAAAAGTTATTCAGGTTTAAACCAAGTTTGAGTACAAGAACCTATGAGTACAAGGTGAGTACCAGTACTCTTAGGCTGATTCTCAAAGGAATTAAGTAACTATTAGTCACACTTTAGAAGAGTCCTATAGAAGAGCCCAAACAAACAAAAAACCCACCCAAATCCAAACAAAACGTTCCTCAAATAATTAAGCATTTTATGAAAGTTTACATGATTTGGTATCTGCAATAGTCTCAAATTCCCACAGCTTTGTGTTCCAACTTTTCTTTGCTATACATCCCAGCATACTAACTTTGTATAACTGCATATTCATCACGAGCTTATAGTCTTAGCAAGCATATTTACTGCTACCTTTTGTCAGAGCTTTTAGGGAAAGTATACATAGGATTAAAATGGTATTACGAATCAAGGGGAAAGTTGTGTTATAAAAAAATCTCATTTGTTAGACTTCCAATATGTGCCTTTAAAGTGTTACATTTAGTAAACTTAAGTGGCTGTGATCAGAATTAGACTGTGCTGAAGAATAGTGAAGATACTTGAAGCTGGAAGGTAACTCATGAAGTACTGCACACAAAGGCAACATTCGGAATGAAAGCAACAGCAGAATTACATGAAGTACCTTATTGTTAAAATTAGTCAAGTTTTGAATTGCTGCCAGAATGCCTGTTTCAGGACAAGTTTCACTTAATTCATTTTTACCAGCCTTAGCTGTAATTCCAGTGTTTCAGCAGTCATTGGATTCACTGGTTTTCTCTTTATCTATCTTTATCAGGCTCTCTCAGGTACTCCAAAGAAAGGTGAGATACTTAGATATTCCATTTTTTTACTTGCTACTTGATTATTTGGTACATAAGCAGGTGTGACTGCTTATGTTTACATACCAGGATGAAGCTAATTAATAGTATCTACTGTTGTTAATCTGAGTTACCAGACAGTACTAGTTATAGACAATGTATAAGAAAACCAATGAAAAGATAGACTTTTTAAGTCACAATATGGCTGTATCTCCTGCTCCCACCCTCATCCCAGTAGAAAAATCCTTCTGAGGAAGGGCACACACATAACCAACTACAGCAATAGCAATATGTACAAGAAAAAAATAAATAACAATACAGAGAAAATCATACCACTGATGGAGATCAGTGCCAAAGCAAGCAACAAAACACATAATTCTGAAGAAAGAGATGCAAAGACATGCTGAGAGCTGCATGACAAACAAACCACCAGGGAATAAAATCTAGAAGGAACCTAAGTTAACAAACTGCAGCCAGGCATTTTAGGCTAGACTGTACAATTTACATAGAGGCCTGTGTTGAGGGTGTGACTTAGGTGCACTTTATCAAGCACCTGTTACCACACCATCAGCTGCATAGTCTTTTTGAGGCTCTGAAACTGACTGAAACTAAACTATGAAGCCCTTACTTCTCATCCTGTCCCCCAAGGTGTGGGAAGCTGGGGTACTTGGATTTGACAAGCCTTAGTCTGTCCTGGAGTACTTTATTGTTTGTTCACTGGGAAAAAAATGTTCTTCAGTTCCGTGCTTTGCTTTGTGACACGTCCTTGTGCAGTCATGAAGCCAAAGTGGAGAGAGACTGGCTCTGTGTACCCACCCATACTTATCTCTGGAGTGTCTGTTGCAAGTTTTACTGAAGGGCAAGGTAGTACCTCTGAGCAGATGCAGCAGACACATGTCATTAAGCAATAAATGCTACCTTGATCACTTTCTTTATTAGTGCCAAGAGCTTTAATCTCTTCAGGGGAATGTGTGTTTTATTACAGCAGTACACACCCAGAAGTGTCTCACTGGAGTTATGAATCCAAACCAGTATTACATTAAGTAAATACAATTTCTCTGTTTTACTAAGATGAAACATTTCCTATTGGTCTATTTGTCTTGCTGCACTAGTGAGACACAATCTCACTGTTTTGTCATACTGCTTTAGTATTTTATCCCAGGTGATCAGGAATTCCTTGGGCTTCAGCCTGCTTTGGTCTCATGGGTCAATTGTCTGTGTCTTACTACAGATAAACAATTTCTGTTAGAGTGATGAAAATTTTTGTTTTCAATTTTATCAGCAAGTCTGAAACTTTTATCTGCCAAGTCTGGAATTACAAATGTCACTCAGGAAGCAAATTACCCTAGATAACATTTAGATTTATCAGAAGTAATCAAAAGCCTTATAACTTATTAGCTGAAGCTGTTTCCTAATATTGTGAAATTTTTGAAGTCACCATTGGATTTAAGTTTGTGTCATTTTACTCAGTGAAGAAAGAAAACTTGTACTGACATGACTGAGCCCTAACTTTTTAACAGTGTATTGAGGGTGAGGAGACTGCTAGTGGATATTATAGGATAGGCATTCTTTACAAAAATAAAAACCCAACCAAACAAGAAAAAAACAACAAACCATTAAGTGCAGTGCAGAACTGGAGCTAAGAAAATTTACCAGTGATATGCAGTCCTACAGAACGCAACAGCGATAGGAATCCTGAGAAAGAGCAGTCAGCAACAGCTAGGTCAGATCCATCATTCCATTTGCACACATGCTGCTCCCTTCACAGCTTCTGCAGTTTGTATGTCATGCCTTAAGATTCCTAGAAAAGCTACAAGATCAAGTGCTCAGCAAGGGATAACATGATGCACATTTTAACACAAGACTTACTTCCTCTAAAGGCTTGCTATAATTGCAAAAACTGTCCCTACCGTTTTCATATAATATTAAAAACATGTAAGAATTAATTATTTGAGCAGATTATATTCTGAAATTGCACATTTCTTAGTTTATTTTTTTAAATAAGGGGGTCACATTCCTTAGTTAAAATTCCCAGTGATGTTATTAGCTGATCTTCTTTGGGGTTTTTTTGGTCTCTTTTTTGAAGTTTGTTATTCAAAACTGTATGCTAAAATAATAGCATTATTATTTTAGGGTTGAGTTTTACAAGTCATATTACATAAAGATTTTCAAGCTCTTATACATCAATAGACTTAGTTCAGTGATTTAAAAACAAAATTTGTCTCAAGATCAAGAATTCTTAGCAAAAGAACTTCTGAATAAGAGCTTCTGGTTTCTCTGTATCCCTTGTACGGACCTGTCCTTGTACCCCTGACCTAAGCTCAGTATCCCTGAGTCATAAGCTCAGCTTCCAGGTTTTGGAGGCCCTGTGCTAATAACACTGTTAATTGAGCATAAGTCTGAAAGTCTGGAGAAGAGTGCAAGACCAAAAGCAGTGGGATAAATACAGTGATGTGAACTGTATCACTAAAAGCATTTTCTTTTTATTAAATCAGAATTCAAGCAAGGTGAGGGAAGTTCTTAGCTGTGTATTCACAGTGCTACTAAAAGGAGAATGACTAGTTTGGTCTTGGCAGTCTTCAGCTAAATATATTGATCACACATGTGTACAATGTCACTTTTGGATGTATTTCTGGGAATACATGCCTTTGAATTTTATCAGTTTATTTTTATGTTTGGAAATACCCATATAAAGCAAGATGTTATTAATGGGAAGGTACTCTTTTTTGTCCTTTAAAAACTGCCTTTTTAAGAAAAGAAAACAAGGACTACTAATAGTAAACAGAAGTAAAAATAAGGAAGGAACAAAATCATGCTGCAAAAAAATGACTGTCACCAATACAACACATATGAAAAAATTCCTATGACTTCATGTCTTGCTTCTATTCCTCTTCATAGAAAAGCAAAAAATAAAATAGTTCAAGCTGAATCAGCTAGATACACTTTTTTACTAATTTTCACAGGCATTACTAAAACGAGGCCCATTTCTTTTATGTCTCACTGCTTGTAGAGCCATTTATACATTAAAAAGCAGGTGATGACACCACAGAATCAAAATTGTAAATTTCACAATCAAAACTTAGTAATAGGCAGTTTGCATATGCACTACTGTTTCTAAGAGTGTGCTGATTACAAGAGGGAATGGTAACAAGCATAGCATAAGTCAGGTTAAATTAGGATCCAGTATTGCATTAAGGTACAACAAAGAGTGTCTTAATGTGCAGAAAAGCTACAATTTCCAAACTTCCCTTTTTCTGATGTCACATCCTCTTCTTCAGAAATCCTTTCTGTCTCTCATGTACTTTTCACCTTCTGCTGCACTTGAGGAAGTATATCAAGCAGCTCCAAAAAAGGCACAAAAAGGAAAAATTCACTTGGCCTCAAATAGAGACCAAATGAAAAGCAGAAAACATCTGAATTTTGAAACAAAACCCTCTTACACAGTTCTGGTACTGATTACTGGTGCTGGCTACAGTCTGAGAAGAGTAAAGCAAGTTCATTTGGTTCTTCAAATATATAAAAATATGTGCTGTAGAATTTCAGAGTATCAATATCAGAATATTTGAAATGGATATTTTGAACAAAGCTCCTCTGTCAAGCTGAAAGTGATACTTAGCAATATCTCAGTGCAATCTATGTTAGTATAGGTACCCACTTGGGAAACAAAAAAGAGCTGGTCCTTGGGTCTATCCCAAAGTAAATTCAGTCTCATAATAAAGCCCATATTAACTGAGAATGACAGTTTCCTCACGTTTCACTTGTAGCAGCGCATCCTTACTGGTAGTAGCAAACATGAAAAGGTACAGGCAGGTTTGTGTATTTTTATGCTGTCACAGAGACACACATGACAGCATGAGGCTTGGAAAAGCCTGCAAGACACATGCTGTGCTGTGTGGTCATACCCTGCCACCCCACAAGGGTTAGCAGTTGGGAGTGCAGCTATTTCCTGCCTGGAAATGATCACACTAATTTTTTAACTGCAGATATAAGCAGAGAAGTTTTGTTGGCAAATTTAAAGCAGGATTGATGCGACATCCACTGAGCTGGCTCAGAAGATAACATTAACTGATGATCCCTTGACACAGAGGAACTGGTCTTGAGAAGGAAACAAAACTTCTATATGTCTGCTTTAAGCCTGCTAACAAGGCATGCTCACACATGCAGGTCTTACACGTCTAAATCTCATACACTTTGAACCTGATTTTCCTCTCTTTTCTATCATCAAATTAAATCCATAAAGCTTAAACTACTATACAGACAGTGTAAACAAGATTAGAATATGTGTCCTTTTAACAGAGTTGCACAACTACATGAAGATTACAAATAAATGCAAATTAATGAGAACTAAATTATCTAAATGTTCCAGGTTCTACAGGTTCAGACTTGTTATGAACTACATACCATCAAATTATAAATCTAGGTTGCAATTGAAAAATCTTCTGACAACTTCTCTCAGATCTAGAGAGAATTAATGCTTCTTTAGTAACACAAGGCAGTTTTTGATCTTCTTCAGTAGTAAACACTTCAGCATTCAGACAGCTGTGTAAAGGAAAATCTCTGAACCTGAAGGTAGACACAAGCAACTGACTTTTATTTGCTGTTTTTCTTCTGGAAGCATGGTTGAAGCAAAATTAGTAAAGGGTTGGGTCACTCATCTTCAAATCAAAGACACTTGAAAGAAAACAAAAAAAGGACCATTATACATTGCAGAATACTTCCAAGACTGAAGACAAAAATATTTACAAAGTTGGAGTTGGGTCTCTGGGTATATCCAGATCAAATATATTTTTTCAATTAAAATATGTCATTAAGGGAAAATGAAGCCTCTGAACAGACAAATATTTTGACTATAAAGCTGGATTTATGATGAAATTTTTTGTAATTCAATTAAACCTGTATAATTTTCTTGGTCAAAGGATTTCTGTGTAGTTCTCTGCATACTTCAGCCATATTGCTGTTATAGGTCAGTTCACTTATCTGGCACAAGTAAGCTATACAGAAAAAAAAGAGCTTAAAAACATATGTAATAAATACATATTTGGCGTATTTTTTCCTGTAATAATTATCCCTGTCTCTGAAAGCAAGTGCTTATAAAATATTTCACCTGGGACTACTCTTCTGAAGGATAAATGAAGTTAAAGATACAAAAACAACCTAATGTTAACAATATCTCCATTGCACTTAACAGTCTCTGTTACTTGCCCCTTTGCTACTGACAGAGAGAGGATTGCTAGGGTTGGTGGAACAAAGGAGATGGAGAACCTAGATGGGTAAAGGCAATTAAACCCCACAACTAATAGGGGAATTAATTGCTGGGCAACAGCTACAGAAACATGTGGAAAACATGCTGTATTTGCCAAGTGATCAAGACAAAATATAGAGCTGTTATGAACACTAACTGGAGTGACAGTTTAACTTATGAGCATTTTTAGCTGCAATTTTCCTTCTTAAAAACAGAGTTTTCCTTCAGAATTAAATAACATCAAGCTATGAATGGAAGTTACAGGACACAGTGAAGGGGGAGATTGCAAAAGAGATTAATGAAGGCTGTTCCCCTGCCCGCCTCTCTCAAATGGGAGTCTACCCTTCTGACTGCTGGCAAAATATCCAAAGAGGCAGAACAAAACTTGCCTGTTTCTTTCCTGGCAGCAAGAAAATATTCCTGTTCCCCTGCATACTTCTGTTAGTTTCTTTTGACTTTAAATTTCTCCTGTGTCACCAAGGCTTAGTCAAAAAAAAGTGTCTGACCCCATTCTTCCTTTCTTGTAGTATATAAAGGCCTTTGTGAGTCTAGGGTTTTTTGTTTCTCAGATTCCTGGTTCAAGTGAATCACCAAGCAATGCATTAGTCAATTCATTGGCAAAGCAGGCCATATTTATATTCTGAAAGTGTCTGAGTTCCAGTTCTTAGGGCTCCCTCCTTTCTTTCCCAGAAAATGGAAGTAGCATAACCTTTATCATAAAAAGGTTTAGGAATTAGCACAATCAATGAAAGAAAATTCTCAGTGCATGCTGAATTCAAAAATCTTGCTAAGAATCAAAACTGTTAGCTATGTATTTTGCACGCCACTACACATGACTTCCCAATTAATTTATTCGGTCTTTTCAAACAAGTAACAAAGAATGAACACTGAACTTTGAACAAGTTTGGGATTTGGACGAGAATCTATGAAGTATTCAGAAATATTGAAGCCAGAAGAACAGAAGAATTGGATACAAGCTTTCAGATTCTGGGGACATAGCTTTGGACTCAAGACGAGATAGGAAAGTCTGGATTTAAGCAGAATTGTGCAGTAAGAGTTTAAAGATTGTATTAAAAGAGTTTGGAAGCTGAAATTCAGCCAATTCTGGCCTCTCACACTAGAATTCTGCCTCCCCCACTGAATGTCTGTCTCTGCCTGGCCGTGCTACATGTTTGAAAAGGTAACACCTCAAGTTCAAATTCCTCCTGAGATTCTAAAATTCCAAGGTGATACAATCTCAGCTCAAGCCTCTGCTCTTTGTCAAGAGGTGCCTAAGTCAAGCCTGCTTCTCAGAGTAAGAGGAGAGAGGGAGGAAAGCATCCTGTGAAACATCTGAAAAATGCAGTTCAAGATTTTGTTTGCCTAGCCAGATTTCACATTTAATTGAAATAATTTGCAGATCTTAAAGCTCCAACAAAGTCAGTAACAAAATAAAATATTTACTATTAATATTAATATTTAAGATTGAAATTGGGTAATCTAGATGATAATGCAGGCTTCTTTTTTTCCTACAGCATTTCAGGAAAATTTCTCAGAGCTGATCATGAAACAAAAAAAAGCAGGAAAATAGAAACACTATCAAATACTGCAACAGCAGGTCCAAAGATTTTTTACTATTCTTGGGACTGCTAATTAATCTGTTAATCTAATTAATACTGTTATCTGCCTACAGTGTTTTGCAATATTGCATAATATTGCATTTTATAAAGGAAAAGATCAGCACAGATGCTACAGATTATTTACAAACAAGGTCAAAGCTACCTATATCTAGCCAAATCTTTCCAAATCTTTCTCTGTCTTTCAAAAACTAATGTGCTGCTAGCACAGGGACTTGTGACTGAGTTGAGACCCAGTGCACACCCTAACCCTTATCAGCACAAAGGCACCTTCTATGCAGAAACTATGCAAGTTGTACAGTCAGTTTTTTCCCCTGCATCTAGGACTTGCACTAGAAAATGGGAGCTACCTCCAACAAGATTAACTTCTGCACATGCAGGTGTGGGATTCAGCAGGAAGCACACTGCACTGTATCTACCTGAGTGAATGTCAATATGTTTCTGCATTATTAGACTCAACCTTGTTCTGTTTGCTTTTCCCTTCTTGTTTCCCTCTGCCAAAAGACAAAGTGAAAACAATTGCACCGATTAACAGGGGAAGACAATCCCTGCTTTGCACACTTTTTGAACGTTATCATTACTGCTTTCCTGAGAAGTTAGAAAAGGAGACAAACAAGTCTAGTAGTCCTATTTGTGTCTCGTACATAATTTTCTGCTAAAAATAAAAGAAGAAAAAGAATGAATGAGAGGCAAGGAGGAACCTGCAGTAAAATCAGAGAATAGAAGACTGCTGAGAAGATCAGGAAACTAATACAAAGCTAATTCTCCAACTGATTTTAAAAAGATTTTTTTTTTTCTAAGGACCTAAATGAACCCTTCAAGTTTACTGCAATCCATGAAAGATCATGGGGAAAAGTGTGAACCTAGAGAACAGGACTGTGTTTTGTAAGAAAGAATGAGTAGAGAACTTTAATCTAATATGAATTTTTGTTTTTCTTATGTCTTAAGCTACATTATCTTATTTTAAAAGTGTATAGTTCTGATTTTTGCCTAAATGCAAGTTATCTTTGAGATTATAAACCCCTTAAAGTTCTAAAGTATGCAGTATTTGGAAAATCAATAGTACTTCACTGTTTTCACTAACCTGGGCACCTGCCACCAGCAGACATTCTCCTTACTACTGCCTCACCAAAGCAACAAGGAGCCCAGGTTTGTAACTGGAATCTTACAGGAGGATGGCTTTGACTTTCTAGATATCTAGATTGCCAAGGAGTATTTACTCCTCATTTGAAAGGTACTTTTCCTTTCCAACCACACCGTTTGGAACCAAATCTGAAGGAACCAAACTAGGAGGTGGGGGGAGGAGATACATAGTCCAAGATGTTCCTGTGGTATCAGCAGGAGTAAGTGTGGTTTAGATAATGGAGACAGATACCAGGAAACAAAAATGGGTCTGATGTTATTTTGAAGTTAAATATCACTCGGAAAGAACAAGATAACTGGACTAAAATAAAATCAGTTTTTCAAACTTAAAATCCTATACTATCTAGCTACTAATAAAATAAGCTGAAAGTACACATTCTGATAATAACTGATCAGTGTTATGAATTTGTAGTTTTTCTTTGTTCTAAGGAAAACACTCAATGTAAGAACATTTTTCCTCTATGTACTTTGCATTCTTTTCAGTTACACTCACAAAGCTCTAAGCACTGCTGATCAAACAGCTACAAGTTCAAAGGCAACAGTTTGGAATGCCAGCATTCAAGCTTTACAAGAGACCCTAACTTGACTCCTAACACATCAAAATACAAAATACAATGACACAGTTGTTTTAAAATCCTTGAGACTTTCAGAGTTCAACATTCAGCCCTTTGCTACAAACCACACAGCTTTTCTAGCTAAGTGCTGGATGTTTCTCCTCAGCCCTTCTTTCGTAACTCCTCGATCAATTCACGAAGCCACTAGAAGTGGACTCTGTGACCCTGATTTGGTGAAAGAATATATTTGGGTGCTGGCTGCGATGGGAGGATTGCTCCACACACCAGAATGTAGTGCCTTAGCACCAGTTTATGCTGTACTCATCTTGCTCTTAAACGGGCTGAGTTAAAGTTGTTCTTGCATTCAAAGACAGAGAACGTCTGTAAAAAACAGTGTAGAGATACTGAAGAAAACTGCTTCAGAACTTGTCCTTAAATCAGATCTAAGATGTTTCTTTCCCTTTATACTGAACAGATGGGAAACTGATTAGTAGTAGTAATACCCCTTCCTTTCCATGCATATTTTTTTGTCAGGGCTAAAATTTTAAGTTGTTTACACTGACTTCTACAGTTTGAGTTGACAAGTAGCCCAAAGCAGCAGAAAATATCTAGTAAGTGATATGATCTCTGCCAGTGTTTTGTTAACACTAACTCGCACCAAAGGACAGTAAGAATCAAATTCCTCTTAATCTCACATTTTACAGTGAAGTAAAATTCACTCTTTCTTGTCGTGATGATGAATTCAGCTAAAATCGTGCTGCATTAGCCTTTTAATATTTGCTTTGTTCCTTGAAAATAAAATTTCAAGTCTGTAAATTCAAATCCAGAATTATTCTCCAACAGCTAATCTGACCCATTTTTCAATTATCTTTAATCTACTGACTCCCACCTCAACAAAAAAGGCAGCATCAACAAAGTAATATAACGTCAAAGAATAGAGATGCAGGATATTAAAGAAACTCAACTTAATTTTGCTGGTTAGTACAGAACAGGGTTTTTGTTATATCAAATTTCTCCAAAAGAGAAAGCCATTTTTTATGAAGATTGAACATTACAATAGCAAAGTCAAATGGAGTGCTGTTTACCTTTTCCTCTCTCGCAGTTCCTAAGAATAGGTTTAATGGCAGTCTAGGGACCACATTTGTTCAAACTGAAGTTTTGTTTACTTTTCTCATGTAACTGCCTAACCTTCAAGGCATGCTCATATCAATTATTTTTAAAGAACACTGAATTTGACTAGCACTACCTTCACTGAGAAGTTATATATGCCACATCTAATATTAATAAGTCTGTATATTTTGACAATCTGTGAGAAAGGGGAATAAATTTTACTAGCACTTACAAATAATTGTCTAGTAAAATGGATTTATTTCAGTACTGAAATTTAAAGAGTCATAAGCTGAGACTGGATTCAATATTAATAAAAAGGAGGTTACTCTTTATGTACTTGCTTCTTATTAAATAAGTTTTATTTATTTTTATTTAATATTTATGTTACTTCTTGGGGTTTTTCAGTTTGGTCTCTTCCTCACAAACTCAGCCATGAGAAGAAAACCTAAATAAATAAGATCTGGTAGTTGCAGTTGTGCAGTTGTGTCTAACAACACTTGGGGAAAATAAATCTTAAGAGAGAGATGCATAGGGAACCACAAGATTAATTTATGTCATTAAGATATAGCAGGGTAAGCTAAATACCCCAAGAGAATACTTCACATTTGGGACAAAACACCTGGAATAAAGGGAAGACAGACTGCATCACGGTGTCAAACAACAGATTCAATCTTGTAACACTTTGGCTTGGCTAAACTAAAGCCTCTGGGCACAGAAGGAACTGACACAATTTAATGTCTCTATCTCCATAGTTTCTGTTGTGCTGCAGTGACATTTATTACTGCTTTTGTAACTGCTTGTCCTCTAGCAGGAGAGCACCACTAGTAAACAAACCCAGCTGTTCACAGCACTGCAGTAGCACCCTGGCACTCCTCACAGCACAGCTGTGCTATTGCTGTAGCCACTCGCTTTCAGAAGTCTTCCATGCACCAGATCAACCAAAGCATGGTTTAAATTTTCATTTACACAATCTTATTTACCCCAAAGCATCACTGAAGATCACAGAAATATAATGCACCAAATATGCTGGTCAAATTCTTTTTCATGTAATAGAGCTGCGAAACAAGATTTTGAAAAGGGTAACAAATGCATCACACATCATTCTGTGAGTGAGAAACAGGAACTTGGAAGTAACACCAAAGCAATGTTGACAAGGATTTTCAGAGTGGAAAAGGCTCAAAGCCTCCCTCCCTGGGATGCCTGTCCTGTCTCCCAAGCAGACATCATTTCCACACAGGATCCCAGAGCCCACCCAGACCCAAAGACTCCCACAAGATTTGCTCCTGTGCTAGTGTTTCTTTTTAACATATGCATATGATAAATGAGGAGAAATGTACATGACCAATGTGGTAACAACACAAATTTTGAAAGCAGAATATCAGAGAAACATACAAATATTTGCTTCAGGATTTCTATCAACAATAATATTGTTATTGTTCCATCCCAGTGAAGCTTTATTATTTTCTGTTAAGCTACACGTGACTTTATAAAATCACAAGGTAGCTTTAGAATTACAGAAAGATTTATGATAGTTTAGATAGTAAGAAAATCAGGGATTCACAAGGAATTCACCATACTGGAACTTTCATTGGTATGGGGATTTCAGGAATAAACACAGCAACTTTTAGGTATAAAATTGATTCTTCACTCCATGAAACTGGTTAAATGACTTTTCTCAACAAAGGGAGACTATACTAATTAAATTTCTGTGCATCAAAGAGGGACTTTAGTAATTAATTTTACAATATTACACAAGTCTTCTTAATTACAAATACTGTTTCTCAGTGGTATTTGTGAGTTTGTGTTTGCATTTATAACACAATATTTGATAAAGCAGCTCTGAAAGAGAAATGCTAAGATATTTATGGAAGCAGGTACAAGGTCACAGGTTTTTACCTAAACTTCTGGGGTTTCTAATGAAATATCATTAGTTGCATAATTGCATTATTTACCCAATCATATGGATCACTAAGACAAATTAAACAAAGATTTACATCCGAGATAAATATCAGGAGCAATTTCATTGTGAAAAAAGTTCCCAGTGATTTCAAATCCTGCTCACACAAGTAAAGTTTACGTTATTGGGTATGATGATATTGCTGACTCGTATGTTAGCATGGAGTGATTAACATTTGATAACACTACAAAATTTCAAAACATTAATAACTATTACGAAACTTTACTTACAGTCTTGCAAAACCATCAACGTAAAGAAACCAATCTGTCACTCATGTCACCTGAGGCATTCCACTTCAATAACTATATATGACAGTACAGAAAATATGATGTGGCAATTGCTTTGCTAAGCAAAGAATTACTTGTAGCTCTCTCTAAGCAAACCAGTTTAGAGACTTGGCAGGTCATACGGCAAAAATAAATACATGCATCTCTTTTAAAAAAATGGAGTTTCACAGATTTAGTTTTGCATTTCTCCTCATTTTTCCCATAATCAATTGGCTCCATAGCATACATATCAAGGAAAGAAAATCTGTAGAATCTGCTTGCATTCTGGCAAACCTTCTGAGAGGGGAGCAACCATGATTCCACCCAGGTCACCAGACTGAAGATGTCAAAGAGTGGAAGAGGTCATCTAAACTAAATTGTGCAGCCAGGCTTGTGCTCTTGCATGTCTCCCACATATTCTAAGAAGTCACAGCAAGATCCAAATATCCATCAATAGAAATGTTCCATCTATTTCAACACCGAAAAAAAAATTATTGGACTTGCTTTAAATGCCTATACTAGGAAAACTTGTACTTCACCTTAGGAATGAATTTTTTTCAGTTGATTGTAATATGAGCACAGGATGACTAAATGGCTTAGAGACACGTACAGAGACGATGCCTACACTTTGGCATTCCACTCTGGGAGCCAAATACTAAGTTTCTAGACAAATTGCCAGAATTTTTCGTCAGCAGAAGGCTCGCCTGCATGTAGCAACATATGTTAGAAATAAGGCACAATTTTTCTGTGTCAAATAAGCTGTTGAAATACCATAAAGTGGTCAGGAAATGTGACCAGAATGTCACAGTTAAGTCACTGGCTGCTGAGCAAACTTCAGAGGCATCAGCCTGTGTCAGGCTATGTGAGGTTCCCCTCCTCTCCCACGATGGTTGGTGCCTGGAGCCAGGCAGTGCTGAGCAGTTCTCATTCTGTGGTCAAATCTGCTCTTGGCCAAAGAAGATTTGAAGAAGAGCAGAGGTGGCAGCAGCAGCTCCTCGCCTTAGTGCTTCTCCCTTTCCCATCAAACCCTTGCCCTGCCAACCTGATCTGGCTACACTTGCCCCTTTGCATGCTCTCGTTTCCCTCCACCTTTCAAATTTTCCCCTCATCCTCCTTCCCTCAGAATATCTACCTTGGTAAAATGATCCTGTTTCTTCTAACCACACAGTTCCCCTCAGCTGGTAGTTAAGCTGGTTTAAACAGTGTACTCTGGCAAACTGACATCCTTCTTCCCTTGTGCTGCAGCAAGGAGAAGGACATCTAAGAGCCTAGTGTCAGTGCACATTGAAATACTTTTCTGGAAACTGGAATAAGGTTGCAGTGGTCACACTGGTTAGTCTGGACAAGGTTTGGATGGTTCCTCACCTGTCTCAAGTGTTTGAGCTCTTGACAGAAAAGGTGTGAGTAAGAAGGAATGGGCAGGGGAAGGGGATCTTGAGATTACCTGCATAAAAACTGGAAACAACCACTGACTAACTTTCCATCTTTTGTGACTGAGAGCTACATGAAATTAAGTGGAATTAAAGCCTAAAGGTGATTTTAATGTTTTATATAAGCATCTCCTTCTTTAAATGTATGAATACTGTTTCTCAAAGTCCTTTGAAAATCAACTGTGATTTTGTAAGGTCACCGTCTTGAAAAGCTAGACACACAAGATCTGTATTCTACACCAAGTTAAAAGCATGCAGTATTTTTGGCTGATGTAATGTTGGCATACAGCTACATACAGACAGTGCTGAAACTTGATCAAAAACAAAGCAGGAAAATGAGAAGATGTATGGCTGGAATTTAATGAAGGTATGTCAATAACTTCAAAATCAAGGGTTTAGGTGCGCCTTAGAACATACTATAAGAATCCTGATACAGATCTGGTTGAATGGATACTGTAGTTTGTTCTGTATGCATTTATTTTAAATTATGAGAGAGAACTGATTGCTTGCAGACAAGTATGTGTCAATCATGAAAATTAAAGGTAAATTAAATATAAACTTCCCCATTATCCTTCTTCGCTTACCTACAGGCTCCATGTACATTGTACCAAGTCAGCATCAAAATAAACAGAAAAATCAGTCTAAGACTGTACATGAGTATGTCCCCCTGAATTATGACACAGGTTCTACTGCAGGTTCTGCCTCCCACCTTCCAGCGGCAGAGCCCTGAGCTCCTGCGAGCACAGCTCCCTCTGGAGCTTGAGCATTGCACAGGGCCGCAGCCCCCGCCCGGGTAAAGGCTTTAGGGGACACCGGGGTCGCCAGGCACAGCCCAGGAGCCTGGCGCAAAGGCTGAGATTCGGAAAGCCTTCTGCCAGAAACAAATACCCTGTTCCTCTGAATATGGCATACCTTCCCAGTGTGACCTAGGAAAAGGGCTAACAGCCCCTGGCTTAAAGGAGAGGTGAGGTACTAAGCCCTGAAAGCCTGAAACTTACTTTCTGTCTAGCGTGACCGATGAGCCTTGACAGGGCTCCCTAGGCGCGGTGTGAGGGGACAGAGGCCGTGATCTAGCTGAGCACTTGTGTCCAGTGTCCCGTGTGCTGAAGCAAGGACTGGCATGTTTAGCCCTCCAGGATGTACGGGATCAAAGTTAATTAACCCAACATCAATTCTGCATGACCAGCTGCCCCACAGAGCAGCCACTTCCGAGCTGAGGTGTCCCTCGGCAGCCAACCAAAGGTTTGCAGCGGATGTAGCTGGCTAGCCAGCGGTGTCGTTTCACCGGTATTCCAAGAGGAGAAGGGAGGGGTGGTACAAGTGCCCTATGACACCAAACAGGCAGGGGGACACGGACCGCAGGCATGTCCAGGTGTGCCCTCACGTCCCGCTCGGCCCGCGCCGGGGGCGGCGGTGGCGGGGCCGGAGCCCGCGGGACAGGCCCGTCCCTCAGCGCCCTTCCCCTCCCTTTCCTCGAAGATGCCCCGCTGTGCTTGCTCAACCCGGCGGTGCCCGAGCGCTTCCGCCGCGCTCCGGTCCCCT